TGTAAACTATAGACGTTAAGTGGATTGCATGATCACTGCAGATATCGTGAAGGACACCTTTGTTTAACAATAACACAGTTTTCTGATCTTCCATTGAATAGGAACCTTGCCTTCTGACAAGTAATATGTGAAGATCCCAACCAGTGTGTTGAAGAAAACACGCGGAAGGTTCTCCAAGTGTTCAGACCCCAACCTGTCCGGACTTGGTGTTGTTCGTTTCTTCACCGACGAAATACCATTGCGGAATTCAGAAGGGAGAACCGATAGGACGACATATCCACCCTCCTTTATTTCCTATGAGGACAGGAGGAGGTGTCTATTGAAGAGATCCATGTAGTATTCGTCAGTGATTTTCTCCATTGCCTTTCTGGAAGATGTAACTGTTCCTCCTGAGCGTTGCAGTGCAATTATCTTGGTTTCGTAATTGGCGAAGTTTCGGTGGGTTTTGTGAAGGCTTTACCAAAGTTCTGCTGCTTCATTTATGACTGCTGCTCTTCTCTCCTTAAGATATTATTTTATTGTCTGTCTGCATTGCTTTGCAAACTCTGACGTGAGTTGGCGGTCGAGAGATTCGACGTTGGTGTATAAGGTCGAGTATTTCTGGAAACAGACATCACTTGATGATTGTTGAGCTCTCATTTTAATAGTGCTCACGTGAAGAATGATAGGTAGGCAGACTGTATTCGTCGATGTTGTCAATAACAGCATCTTTTCACCATCCGACTAATGAACTGAGTAAGTCCCAGTTTACGGTGGTTTTAGGACTTGGTTTTTTCAATTTGGCGGCTTCTTCTCCTTTCCGCGATGAATGGAATCTTGCACGAAGGAGGTAGTGGTCTGATCCCGTGTAGAATTTTGGCACAACGGCGATATCGGTTATGCAAAACGTTCGATTTACTTGAAACTGCTCTTTCTTTGCCGATACATTTTGTAACAGTCCTCAGGTTCGGCTTTCTATCAACGGCATTGGTTTATAAATGCGTCGTTTTCTTCCTCAAAAATCCCGAGATTCTATACAGCATACGTTTATCTGCGTACAACAAACATGCAATGCAGCAGTTGCTAACCTTTTAGCAGTATCGCCTTCTTCAGAGCCGTTTTTACGTAGTTTCCACGGAGGACGAACGTAATGTGGTCTATTTCGTTATGGTACTCTCCATTGGGAGACTCTCACGTCCAGCGTTGAGGGTGGGGCTTCTGGAATTGCGAGTTACCACGGATGGTCTTGGTCGTCATGATAAACTCAGGGAGCCGCTCACCCTATTCGTTCCATTCTAATCCGTGAGTTCCAATGTGACGTTCTTCCTGGTCCAATCTTCGCGTTAAAATCTCCAACAATGACCTTTAAGAATATATGGTCTGTAGAATTCTGTATAATTTCTCCAAGTCCATATAGAACGCTTCGGCTTCTTCTTCGTTATACTTTGATGTCGGCTCTGTTGTTTGTCATTGATGTTTGAAATGACTTAGATTGTTAAAGCCGGAATTGATCCACATCTTTTTAATCGTAAACGTCCGATTCGGGTTGTTAGTTGTTCGAATGAATCGATGTTCATGGACAAACTCGTGCTGACGAGAACGCCGACTCCGCCGACCCCTCTACTGCCGCATGTTCCAAGGAACAGTTCTTCTCCAGTGTCATAGACGGAATTGAATAATGGGTGGCGTCTTCTCACCTGAGCCAGTCCGATGACGTCATTTATTATCCTTTTTGCCTCATGAATAAAAGTCCTTGTGGAAGAGAGGCTAAGATAAGAACATTGTGTTTGCTCATCAAGAGAACAGAACAAATTAATGACCAATGCCGAAGTTAATAGATAGGCGGTCCTGAGTCCCATAAGAAGAACTTCTTTTTTCTTGTCCTTGAAATTTCCTAATTAACCCGTCACTTGATTACCCTGTCGCTGTGGGACACTTAAATATTGAAGACGATTTTTTTTCCATATTTAAACAAAGAAGAATCAAAACACTAGTTTGACTTCGCACATAGGAGGAATTAAGTAATCATACAGCATGGAAACATGTTAGAACCAGTGCAGATTTCACCGTCTTGCTTTGAATCTCGTCGTCTTGCATGACGGAGGGCGGAGATAGCGCAGTGGTTAGTGATGTCGTCGATCAGGAAGCAAAGGCGCTATTTCGATACTCACCACTACGTTCTTCTCCATTCTAGGTAGGAATGCATTAGCTTGGCTATCTCTAAGGAGCATCGAATGGACCGTCATTATATGACGCTCATAAAGAAGACGAAATTCTCAATCAGTAGACGAAACAGCGAGCGAAAAGCTCGAAGACAATTGTGGACGATGAATACGAAGGAAACGAAGTGAATACAAGGACTGCTGAGATCATCACAGTAGATGTGATGACGGGTCATGCAAGATGAAAATAAAAACATTTTTTTTGTGGAATAAAAGAATTCGCAGGACCACCTTACTATGCATCCATCTATTGACCCGTAGTTTCTGATCCTGAACTAACACTTGCGTTTCGTGGATTGCATTTAAGGGATCGTAGAAAACTGACATCAAAAGGCTGCGGCTATTCGTAAAAAGTTCTCAGGAGGCAGGATTTTCGACGCCGACCGAAACCAGACAGTGGGCGCGCGTCCTCGCATCACGTCACGTCGCCTGAAAGATGTCGTTCCGTTCCTGTCTTCTTTATTCCGTATTTACTCGCTGCGCACCTTAAGGTAACACCCGTAACAAGGAACGGATTCGCTCGAAGCGAACTCCTCTGATCAGTAGTAGAACGATCTGGACTTTGGCCATAGACGAAGCCGGCACAAGGTGAGCACTGGGCGCTCGGCGCGAAATTCGAATGCGAGGACGCGCCGCGGCCACTTCAAAGGCGACGGCCGCCCGTCGTCGTCCACCAGAGCTGTCCGAGTGCCCCCTTGGCCCCACTCGGTGGCCCTCGTCATTCTGCTGTGATCGGCTGTTCGTTCCTGGCGTGTGCATGCGATAGACACCTATTCAATTCCTATTTGATTATTTCCGTTGCCAACTAAGTTGCCGCGGTTTCGTTCCCTTAGAGCTTGTCTCTTTTCGTAGAATTTTTGTCCCAGAATTTATGTTCTCTATCAGTTCCTGTCCATGTTCGAGTGTAAGTGCTGAAATCAATGGAGTGTCAAGTGAAGTGTAGGTGATGAGCGGAACCGCTTTGCTTTACAGTGTGTTCTCATCCGATTTGTACGCGAAAAAACTCAAACTATCGAAGTACTTCGGCGTTTCGATCCGTCGCAGTCATTCCGATACCATCTCTGGTTGCTTTCAGGAGTTCCGCTGCTTGGAGTCTACTTGTATTTGTTTTCGAGACATTTTGTAAGTATAACCCTCCTTTAACCCTGGAAGCACTTTCCATTATATGCGTTCTTCTCATTGGTTGTTAAGGTTTCTAAGTGAGTATTGTAGAGTGTTCAGTGTTTCTCTGTGTAACATAGGGTCTACAGCATCCTCCATTCGTGTATGGGCCATCGGTGGTCACAAAGCGGACAACCGAAGTCCATTTCGTGCTACTCGGAGTCGGCGGATGTTCATCGTGGATCTCGTCCGAACTGGCCCGTGCCGTTTCTGTTCGCAGCTAATTCCCCGTTACTGGATGGCCCCTATTGGCGGCACGTCTTTGAGTCGTTGACCCTCCCGCCCTCGTCGGACGACTCCCTTCTCATTCAAATGCTCAATCGATTCTCATCATTCGTTTGTATATCGCGAGAACATTGCAGGCATGGTTTTCACTAACCATACTTTGGTATTCCTACAAATTTGTACTGTTCCAAAATTTACGCAACTGTTGTTACGGTACAGTTACTGGTTGGTTCACTAGCATTCTGTTCGGGTATATGTCTAAGCCACATAGATATCTACACTCAGCTCCTCGTAAAATGTGCTGTTCCTTCAATCGATGATAGCGAGTTAGTGAGAACGGGTCTATGGGGTCGAAGAGGAGCTTACGTTCCTTCTATCGAAGGTGTATGGAACGGATTTCTTTCAGAAGAACATATCATTTTACCTGTTTCATCTCTGTTTCTATCGATCATCAAGCTGCTCCAGTTCATACCTGTAATGTCACCATTAATCCACTCCACGTCCTAGTGTTGTCCACTGACATCCGCTTGCTTAGGGAGATGGATGCCATCACGACACTTTTGGTATTAAGGAATTTATTTCCATAGTTTCCAGCAGAAAGTTACGATGACTTTCCAGACTTTGTCGTCCATACCTGTAGCTTGTCGGGATTCTCCATAGGAGAGAAAATATCGTAACATCGTCCTGCTGTGAATAGCATGTTTCTCTTCTACTTATTTCTAAAATATTCGGCTTGCACAATTAGTAATTCTTGGAGTAAGTAAAGCCTGTCAAGTTTTTCATACTTACTTACTTGGCTACTTGGACAGCCGGCTCTCACTGGTTGTGCGGGACCAGCATAAATTCCATTTTCGGAGAACTGCTGGCTAAGCCATTGCGCTTCTCTGGAATGCCGAGGTCAGCATGGTCAAAGTTTGCGCATGGTGTTCACCACAACAGGCAATCGCAGCCCTTATGGATCAGAGGGAAATTTGTCTCCATGCGACTTTTATACCAGGACAGTGGTGGATCCTGGTACTGGTTTACTCGTAGCTGTGCTTGCTGGTGGGAACTCGGCTTGGGAGACCTTGCCTTGAGATGAATCTCCTGCTGTACATCGCAGTCCGATATCAAGGAACACATCCCAGTCACGACGAGGCGGTAAACCGTTGGGAGGGAAGTTTCTCATAGTAAACCTAAAACTATTGTGTTATGTTTTCATAATAAGAAGAGACCTGTTGTATTAAGTTTTTTTGCGATTCGTGTTTGAGATTAGGCAATCTGATTCCGTGAATTCTCCTGAAACGTGCCTTTGTGATTCTGGTCTCTTTCATTTCTTACAACGGCGCTTCCTCATATTTAAGAAATTACAACTTTATGAACTTTCTCATTCTGTCTATCTGGTGTTTAATACACTTCATTCCAGGTTCTTAGATGTCGCTCTTTAACCGGTTGTTCCGTGGAAAGAAGTCTAACAAAGAAAATGAGCAGCCTACAGAATTGGTCGGCTTTACATCTTGTACTGTCATTCAACTTAAATAACAGTTCTGGTTTTAGGATCGTGAAATGGCTTATCGACGTTCGTTACGTACGTCGTCTTCTGGTCGTGGAACCCTGAAAGGAGACCGGGCTCGATTTCATGACGATATTCCTGCTACTGCTCCTTACCATACAGTGACTGCCCCACGTCTTCACAAGGGACCCATGAGTTGTCCGGGAGGGTCAGCTTATTTGGTTGTGTTGCGTTGTCTAGAAATGTTTCTCTAATTTGCTATAATATATTTAGGTATAAAGAGAGCTATCGTAGCGAAGCTATGGACAGGTCGTTTGATACAGAAATCCGACCTTCGCGAGAAAGAAGAGACCGTAATGAATGTACGGAGCGAAAATATAGGAAACAGCGGTAACCGTCTTTTGCACGCTAAATTCTGACCATATCGATGGTGCTGAGACATTTGCAAAACTCCGGACTGCAGGTGTCTGTGGTGGGGAACGAACGCGCTATTATCCTCTCGGAGGGCTAACGCGTTCACCACCACACCATGCGCGTCCTTCGTTTCGCGTCTCTCGACTAGTTTTTTTTGTTGACCTGTGCCATCAGAAATCGGGCTTGATCTGTGGACCATATTGTGTTCCAACTACATACATTTCCAGGAACCAGGTGTTATATGTGAAACAACGAAGTTTCCGAAGCTGTGTTTTAGGGCAACATGGGATACGTCTGAATATGGAAGTGGTGATCCGTCACCTCTTGGCAATTATCAACGAAATTCGCACTATAACGAGGATTTGGAGGAGTCTGATGATCAGGAATGGAATATGCACGACAAATTAATGGTCGGGTGCTTTTTAATGTTTGCATAGTGAGATTTTCGTCTATCTATGGTTCTATGGAAGATGAAGAAATTCCCTTTTCAGCAGTTGGACAACAACTGTAGGAGGTTTATGCGAAAATACAAGCATGCGGAGGAGCGCCATATGTACTACAAGGCGGAGTGGAAAAAGATCTACAAAGCCAAGGAAGAATCGGAAAATGTTTGTCGTACCACTCAATTAAATCAAATACTGGGTTTTATTTCAAAACCGACTTTCCGCTAACCTCGGTATGACTAATCAATATGTATTCTTTCTTTGATTAAGCTTACACGGGGTTGTTCGAAAAACTGTGGACCATCGGCTCTGGTGAAGACGAAGATGTCGAAACTTTAACCGGCTAGAGATGGTTTATCGAACTCGTGTAAGCTTATTAAAGAAAGAATACATGATCGATTCTATTTAAATGCACTGAGAGCCAACATTTGCATTGCAGCAGTTTTCCAGGTAACCATGAAGATGTTGAAATATTTGCAAAATTCCGGACCGGAACAAAAGTCCATGGACTCGCATGGTGCGGTGGTGAACGCGTTAGCCCCCGAAAAGGGTAGTTACGTGTGCAGTCCCCGCCACAGACATCTGCGGTCCGGAGTTTTGCAAACATCACGGCTTCATTATGGTTATATTTTACACAATACCAATAAAGAATAGTAGGTAGTAGATAAAAATTGACGACATTGTAGTTTTCCAGGTATTTCTGCGACAGATTGAACAACTTACTAAACAACACGATAGGGACGTAGAGAAAATCCGTAAACTAGAGGCGGTGGGTTTTTTGCTATTTTGGTGCCAATATTTGTTCTAAAGCAATTTAATAGTAACTTCATCTTCATCATGTCTCTTAGTATTTCTGGGCTTCTCTCCTTTTAAACCTTTTAGCTGGATTTTCAGGAATTGGCTCACTATCGATTCGGACATTTATCGGGAACAAACGCGTATCATTTCGGAATGCCTTTGTCTTCCCATGCTCAGAACAGGAGTTCAATGATTCCGTCACTGCCACCGCTGCCAAGCAGTACGGCCACTCCATCTACCAGTGCTGTCGAATCTATCACCGGTGCAGGTAAATTCATGTCTCTCCAACATATAGAGCATTCTGTCAATTGATTGCAATTCGTATTTGGCTGAAATTACACGCTCATGTCAGTTTTGAATCGACTTTTATCATCTCTTGGTGGATCTTATTGGTTGAGGTAGAAATCAGTTGGAACTAGCGATTCTTGCTGATCAATTACAATTCTTCCCTTCTACCATCTTGATCATCAGGGGCACGTGTAGCGCAGTGATTACCAGCGTGCTGCAATACGCATGGGATCGCTCCCCGCTCCCCAAGCCTACCAAGCCTTCCGTCCCTCTGGGGGGCAGCAAATTGGTACCAGGCTTGCATGGGAGAATAATTGCACTGGCTTGATGCATCGCTAGGCCACCGCGAGTCGTTGTAAAGGCCAGATATGCATTCATTCATCTCCAAACGTTGCTTAATGAAGTCGAATGCATGGCGCATCCCTAAAGGATGAATCAAAATCGAGAGCTTTATCCATTCTCCTTTTTTGTTACCATCTTGATCCTGTTGTCCTTAGGACCGCTGAAATCCTTTCTTCGTCGCAGCCCGTATTTTGACCAATGAAATGGCGAAACGAGCAAGATTTTATGAAGATGAGAGCGATCCCCAACATATCACTTATGAGTACTGCGCGTGGCTCAACGATCTTAAACGTTCAGATTTCGCCATGTCTTTCAAGAATTGGAGTTTTTAAACAGTTCTGTCAAGAAAATAACAATCCTGGCGGTACAAAATGTTTTTATACCTGTAGGCGAAGCTCTCACGGAACAGTCTGACCTGTCAATGCTTCGACCGTTGCATTTCGATTCATCGTTCACTGCACGCCCGATGATCGACGACGTCGATGAAACCAAGAACTTCAGGGCTTTAGCTGTAGATGACAACGAGAGTTTTCTCTCAGGTGTAGAGGCACCCCGCGATATCCAGACTGACAAGGTCGCTAATCGAACTGCTCATGAGGTATGCTACTTCATCGGGATTTCCTCCCAAGATTAACACTTGCCTACTTCCACTGTCGTGCTATAAAAAGCGAATCATTTGCATAGCTGAATAAATGCCGTGTTATCTTGTACGCCTGGTCTTTTCTAGGACGTGATGCTTGATGACGGGTATGGGACCACAACAGATAATACGACAAATAAAGGTGCTGACGGCATCTCCTGTAAGAAATCTGAGGGCGCAGGTAGTGCTGAGATCAAAACTCATCAGGACTGACGGGTTATCAGTGCAGGAGACTTCAATGATAGCTTCTGTTTTGGTATCAATCATGTCTTATTAAGTGATCGGAACATTCACTTCCACTTTACGATCTTTCTATGGTCACAGTGATAATTCTTGAAGCTAATAAGTGAGCAATCGCAGTTTATTTACTGTTTAAAGTTCACCTTCCTTGGATTTGTATGTTTCCAGTAATGTTTTTTGCTTAGAATTTATTGTTGTGATATCTGTGAAATAATACATTGGGTAATGAAGGAAACAGGTTGTTTCACGTGGAGATTTCAAAGGCCCGTCCTTATTGGATGTGCGGACTCCAACATATTTTCCATTTCCTAGAGTTTAGTTGGTTTAGCCATTGTGTTACTCTGGAGTCCCAAGCTCAGTATGACCAGTCTGCCCCAGGTCTTCACCACCATAGGGAGCCGCCGCTTTGTGGATGATAGCGAGGTTTGGCATCGTGCGACTAGTTTGATACCAGGACGGTGGTGGATCCTGGTATTGGTTTACTTTTAGCTGGGATTCCTGATGGAAATGCCGGACTCCTCAGTTTGAGAGGCTCCGCTGAGTGCATAAATCCTCCCATTGTACATCGCAGCCCGATCGACACTTAGGAGCACCTCCTGGCCACGATGAGGCGATGAACCGTAGGAAGGACATGTTTTCCCAACAGAAAATGCATTCGATCTCTACGAGCTCTTTCCAAGGGCTAGTCGGTTCACAGTATTTATCAATATACGCTAGTTGAATAACCACAGAGCAATTGTTTATTGTAACGGCTTCAAGTTTCACAACAAAGACAATTGAAATATGATACCAAGAGGCTCTTCAAGGAAAACGTTCAAAATTCCTATTTTTATATTAAACATGAGTGGATCTTCGGAGGTTAGAGGTTTGAGTTGAAGTCAACAATATCTAAATAGCAACGCTGTGAACAAAAATCAGGCACACGCAATTAGTTGTAGGAGCATGCAAAGCGAGTGCTCATAGCAAAAACTGAGTTTGAAGAAAAAAGAAGCTTCGGCATAGAAGGAAGGAAAGATAATGTAAGTGATCATCGCACGCAGCCAGATATTCATCCGGGTTTCGCCAGTTTGTTGTTCAGATGATGTCCGTCAAGAGTGCTAAGGCGTTTCCGAGCATTACGGTCGGTTGTGGGTTCGAAGTGGTGGTAAACGGGTATAGTATACAGAGATTCATTACCAGAAGGGCATCCAAAAGGGTGCGCATCACGCGTGACAGAAGACTGCGTGGGAAAGTCGTTGGTGGAAGAACTCAAACTGACGTTACCTTAGATTTAAACACATTACAAATAGTAATAAAAATGACAGCCCAACATAAACGCATAAGGTGACTTTTGTAAAATATTAGTAGAACACAAACATAGCAATGCTTAGATATTTTCAAAACTGCGGATCGAAGATGTGTGCGGTGGGAATCAAACACGCATTTACCCTTTCAAGGGCTAACGCGTCCACCGCCACATCATGCGGGTACTTCGTTTCGCCTTTCTCTCAGCCATGTGTAGGTGCTAACATCGTCAATCACCCGTCAACAGGATTATGGGGAACACAAAATCGGCACTGAATCCAGTTAACCAGCTGAGAAAGAGGCGAAACGAAGGGCCCACATGGTGTGGCAGTGAGTCCCGTAGCCCTTGGAAAGGGTAATAACACGTTCGATGCCCACCGCAGACACCTGCGATCCAGAGTTGTGCAAATATCTCAGCATTACAATGGTTGTGTTTCAGATAATACTCTGCCGTAAAAAATTGCACTAGACAGCGAACAATAAGTCAATATTGTGACTAGGATATTTAATAACTCACATATTTGCATGTCTTCTGTTGGAACTGGTCTGTATTAAGGGATAATAGAATGAAAAGTAGTAAACCTATTCATGACATATTTCCTATAACTTGTAATGAACGACATACATACTTGGATACATAGACGGGTCGTCTTTACTGGTTCTGCGGACCTGAGCACTATATCCATTTTTCGGAGTTTTGCTCGTTTAGCCATGGTGTTTCGCTGGAGGCCCCAGGTCAGCCTGGCCAAAGTCTGCCCCAGATAGTCACCACCACAGGCATTCGCCGTCCTTGTCGATTAGACAGATTTGCCACCATGTGACTAGTTTGGTACCAGGACGGTGGTGGATCCTGGTGTTGGTTCACTCTTAGCTGGGCTTCCTATTGGAAACGCCGGACTCCTCAGCTTGGGATACCCAGCCAGGGAGATGAATCTCACCACTGTACATCTCAGCCCGAAACCCAGGAACCTCTCCCCGCTGCGGTGAGGCGGTAAACCGTTGAGAGGCGACAAATAGACTTAAGCGAAAAGTCTTTTTATAAACTCTTGCGTAAAGAGAATAGCTTGTTAACGACTACTTCTTGATCTGTGCTCAATAAGCTACCAAGCGAATGTAAAAGTATGGCAAGAAGACTCCGTGTGGTAAAAAAAAACAACCAGGCTAAAAACGAATTGGATTGAATTCATGCTGCCTTGTATGTCTCTACATATGCCTCAATGTAGATAGATATGTGGGCTTCCTATTGGAAACGCCGGACTCCTTCTCAGCTTGGGATACCCAGCCAGGGAGATGAATCTCACCACTGTACATCTCAGCCCGAAACCCAGGAACCTCTCCCCGCTGCGCTGGAGGCCCCAGGTCAGCCTGGCCAAAGTCTGCCCCAGATAGTCACCACCACAGGCATTCGCCGTCCTTGTCGATTAGACAGAGATTTGCCACCATGTGACTAGTTTGGTACCAGGACGGTGGTGGATCCTAGTGTTGGTTCACTCTTAGCTGGGCTTCCTATTGGAAACGCAGGACTTCTCAGCTTGGGAGACCATGCCGGGGAATGAATCCTCCGCTTTACATCGCAGTCCGACACCCAGGAACACCTAGCACCCACGATGAGGCGGTAAATCGTTTGGAGGAACGGCATACATATGTGACACAATATGAGCACGAAGCAATTAGCAATACCTACGCTTTTCCATAGACATGTGATATTCAATTCTTTGAAAAGCGGGAGTAGATCTTCCAACAACTTACCAGGTGGTACTGCCCTTCCAATAGGTCCAAACTGCCCTTCCTTTAGTGGTTCCCCATGAAGAGAAGTGTCAATGACACATGACTGGTCCAGTGAGCGAAGAGTTTGTGTTGGAGTACATTGCGCCAAATTACTCTAAAATTTCCTATATGAATTTAACTTCAGTGAACATAGAGACTTCTCAGTAACTTTAGAAAAATACCACATTTTCAGACGATGGAGCTACTCCATTTCCTACGCCAAATGATCCCAGTAAGTCCAGATACCCTGTGTATGTCAAAGTTAAGGTCTGGGAAGTGGGCAATTTCACACGAAGTATAACAGGAAGTTTCTACAAGAATTCGGTGAAAATATTCTCCAAAGGGAGAAATAAAATGTACTGATACCTGGAAAAGTCAAAGAAGCGTAATATCAAGAAACAGGGACACTGACCTTTGGCATTATTTGATAGATCTTGAGCAAGGTTACAAGGCACTGGAGGCTGAATGAAAACGCCAGCCTGATTGACATTTGGGGTAGGAGCATAAGTGAAACCAGGAGTTGAAAATGGCACGAGGGCAGCATTGAGAGATTGATTTGAAGCTGGAGTGCCGATAGGAGTGGATGGCGTAGTGTACAAGAACTGCAGCGGAAACGGTGAAAATCCCATAGGAGATACTGGTATACCATTAGCTGCAACAGCATGCTGATGGAGATAAGGAGAGAACTGCTGAGGAACAAACAAAGTCGAGTATGGCATTTCATTGTGTGGAATTGGATTGATGATGGCTGAAATATGGAATAAAATATCAGCTAACAAATGCAACTGGCTGCAAGTGGGAAAAATAATTTGCTCACATTGCAAACCTAGTTGATTCTGTGCTACAAGCAGAGAATTAAGTTGTTCGGCAGGACTGCTGTAGACGAAAGAGCGCGGCTGAACCTGAGGGAGCTGTCTGGAACTGAATAAATCAGTACGCCCTGGCGGTATAAGGACGCTTGGCCCTGGTGCTGGAGGTGGTTGAGGGCGATTGATGGTGAAATTGCGACGAGGTGGCATCGCGGTCGCCTTTTTAACCTAAACGAAAAATCCAGGGCAAAACTGCTGGAAAATGGAGCTAGTGTTCATCGCTGTGACAAACAATCCACGTACAATTGATACCTCAATAACTCGTCCATTCACTACGGTACCGTTTAGGGCACTTCGTGCTGCCTCACTGCTCTGCTTCGAGTCGAGCGTGACGAATCCAAAACCTTTCGAGCCACGTTCGTTCATTACGATCTCGGCACTAGACACTTTTCCAAACCTGTAAAGCATGTCTGTACCAAAAGCTGTAGGGACATTACCATTTCTAAGGTTTTAATTATTGAAGTGATGGAAGAAAACCTTACGGCGAAAACATTCCGATGAGATCTCGACTGCGAAAGTTGAACGGTATATTGCTTACATAGACCCTAAAGCTTGAGGAAATTACTACTACAAAATGACAAGAACAGCTTCAAGTCATGGAAGATTACAACTACAGTCATAAAGTTAGAAAGAAACGAATATAAAGTTTGTAGAAGCAAGGCTAATGAGGCGCTGAATGGACACTATAGGATTTAAATAATATCGTTCGACCAACGAGTGTACTCTGTGCGTAAGATCCAATACATTTCAAGATTTAAACCGTATGATATAGCGTGAGGTGCGCGTGTAGTGCAGTGATCAGAGGCGTCCTGCAATACATGGAATCGGTCCCAGTACCCCAGGCCCACCAAGCCCTCCATACCTTCGGGATGAGCAGACTGGTATCAGACTTGTCTGGGTGGATACCAACACTGGCTCGACACATAGGTAGGCCATCGCGAGATTGCAAAGGCCATATATGCATTCATTCACTTCTAACGATGCTTAATGAAGTCGAATGCGTGGCGTATCTCTCACGGATTGATCATCGCCGACAACTTTATCCTCTATCCTCTATGATAAAGTGTGAGAAAGCCGAAACGGCGGAAAACATTTTCATTTATTTGGTTTTCCTGGATCAAAGAGAGGGAAGCAAAAGAACTGTTTATACGCACTAAGTAACTTCGAACAGTTTTATGAATTGGTTCTATCGATTGTGAGCCAAATTTAGCTTTTAATGAATTACAAGGGCCAAGAATCCTTACTATGCAAATGGAGAATAAGTCTCGAAGAAAATGCTAACCCACTGTCCGTCGACTGGCTTCTACCGGTGCTATTCCCATTAAAACAAAAAAGTCCTTATTTGCCGATATGAAACAAATGCTGGCTACTGTTCTTAAAGCTAGTTACAAGGTCTACACGAAAGCCCTGCAAACCAATTCTGGCAAGTACTCACGCAAATAATAGCCCACTTATCTTTAATGTTCACTAACAAACTTAAGGGACAATTAATTCACCTGCAATCTTGATACTGATCTTCAGTACCACCGGAGGACGACGACACTGCACCAGCTCCAGAATATGGCTCGAGCGCTGCCTCACTGGCTCCATCCGTTTCCGATTCCGTCTTTATTAGAGGATTAACTTGCACATCGTTAGTGTCAGTAAGGCCGTTGACCGCACTTGCTGCCGGTTTGACTGTTGAGTGCTTAGCCATCAAGGAAAACTTGTGAAAACTAAAAATCAGCATATCAAATGACTAAAATCTACCAAACGAACGACCGAACCGACGGTAGACATATCAAGAACTACGGGCGTCCGCTGAGTCAGGCACGCAGGCGTTGAGTGAAATGCAAGACCGCGGGCTGCGGCGAAAATCGATGATCTACCCCGTCGGTCGACTCTAGGGGGCTGCATGCCTGTGAGTGGTTCGATCGAAACTAATGATCTACATGCCTATGAGTAGCTCCGATCGATCGTCTCACAAGTTCTGCACTTGTATTCCCTCTTCATCGTGGGCGCATCCCTTCATTATGATGAAATCACCTGTGTCCTCTGTAGTCCTGTTGGCCGTCGAGTGACTCGAGCGGGCGCCAATAAATCTTCCATTTTTCCATGTCACCTGTGTGCGTAGCCTAGTGGGCTTTGCTGATACCACCGATCTCCCACATATGAGGGATCTCGAGCCGGTTACTCGCTAGCCTACGTGGCGCGCCCGAGGTGGTGGAGAAGTTAATCGCAGACCAAAAGCGACCTTTACTTCCCTGAGACGAAGGTGGATCCACGGGATGGACTCCCTGTTTCTGCTGCGCCGATTTGGCGCATACTTTCCGTATTTACGAGACATATTCATGTATGCGTGCATGGGTGTATTCTCGTTTATCCGGATTGTATTTCTACGAGTCAATTCGGCCAAAAGCTTCCAGTAAGGTGACAGGGAAGCATATGGGAGGCGGTTGGAAGTCGCCTCCAACAAGCAAGCTCCATGTCCATCTGGGAGAGCCTGGCAAGCTACCGCGAGTATACCTAGCCCCCATGTTCAGAGCCCAGCGAGCTATACGTGGGTATCAAGCTGCTAAACACAGTAATGATGAAATAGCGTTCATTAATTGCGGATCATCATCAGCAACGAAGTTCATCTTTTGACAGTATCACTTATACCAGAAGCAATTCGACTCTTTGGATTAGTCAGGATTTATCTATGGATGAGTCACCCACTCATCTACTAAGTTGTAACATATGAAATGTTCGATTTTAAACGTACACTTTAAGTAACCGTAGCTTCTTCTGTACCAATTTTTATTAATCGAAATAAGACCATTAGAATCATCAACGGTTGTTTGGTCGTTGAAGATTTTTCCATCAGAAAGTGGTCCAGATGCTTAAAAAAATTAAGGTCCGTTGGCGACAAATCTGGCGAGTAAGGCGGAGGTTCCACGGGAATTGCATGGAACATTAAAGCAATAAAGTCGGATATATCATGTGTTACAACCTAAAAGGTATTTTTTTTTCGTTTTTCATATCGCCCTCTATATCTGTAGTGAAGTCATGGCAGTAAAGCATTGATTAACAAAATCGATTAATGCAGGTCGTTTCGGATAAGCTCAGTGAGGAAAAATCATATAAGAAGCAAGAAGTAGGAAGCTTTGCACATGGGAGTTGGGTATACTTGCAGGTAGCCTGCCAGTCTCTTCCAAGGTAGACAGGGAAGCTTATTTGTTGACGGAGACTCCTAACCACCTTCTGTATACTTCCATGTCCCTCGATTTCCAGCGTTTGCACGAATCGACTTCTAGAATAAGTTCCACACAAACGAGAACACATCCATGCACGCATACGTGAATACGTACTTTACGTTAACTTGATCGTGATCATAAGGCTATTATTGGTCCGCAGTTTTTAAAACCGCTATTTCCGCTTTTTTCCAATGAGTTTCCGCATATTCTAGCCATCTTTAGGATAACCTGTGTCCAGTTTGCTATATCTGAATAAGCCGAGAAAGAAATTTACCTGCATGAATGCGAAAATGGACGTAAGTCCGTTGAAGTTGTTCGCTTGGGGACCACGACGGACATCTTGAAGAACAACAGCATCATGCATGATTTGCTGCACACGACGAAGAACATCTAAACAACCCGTTAGTGGAAGGTGACGCGCACAGCGTTACCCACGTTTCGGAGTTGGCTGACTCTTTATGGAAACCTGAACCACGACTCGCACGAAGTTGGAAAAAATACAGCATCGAAACATTGGAATAAATTTTGCGCCAAAGTGACAACAGAAGGAGATATAGTCGGTTTGTGGGGAAAGTAATTCACCGCGGTCCTGGCACGATTTGATCCACTAATGTTTAGGACAATTGTGGAAAGAAATGCAACGTCTTGAAATGGTAAAGAATCGGATTACAAATGGAGTACATAGCAGACGATGACAGTATTGATGGATTGAGAAAAGCTTAAAGCATTCGGCGTTGGTCAATCCTCTAGAGATGCGTCATGTATTAGACTTCATCAAGCATCACGAAGGTGACTGGAAAGCATTTGGCCCAAACAATGGCTGACTTTTGTCGGTCAACTGAAAATTAACCTCGCTTTGACCATATTTATTGCTGTGGAGAGAATGCTGGTAGGTTACCTGGCAAAATCGCTTCCCCGTAAAGTGTAGGCTTCTTCAGGCTCTGTGGTTACCAATCATGTTTCGTGGCCTGTACACCCGCTCGTACCAAACTTCTGCTTGTTCGTCGGACTTTTTTTGGAGTTTTGAATATCATCCTGAGACTCTCACTTTCAAAATCCAACAGCATTCTGGGATGTGTTGTTGTTGGAGGTTTTTTAACTACCAAGTTCCTCTACTACTGGGGAATCAGCAACATGGTGAATTTGCTCTCTTAATACCATCTGTATATTATGTAACTGTTCTCCGTTAGGTAATGGGTGCTTTGATAATTGTTCTGTCGACTTTAATCCTCTTGAAGATTCGAGCAATACAGCAGAAACCACAACCTGCTGGTGCTTTGATGTCGAGAGAAAAGAAATTCAAACAGGTAAACTACATTTCTCCCATCAGTGGAAACGTGTTTTAGTTCTATTCTCAAATTTAAACCAATCGCAACTGCGCTGGTGTCCTCCTCATATACTTGGTGTCTGTCACGCTTCCAAGTGTTTTTGTTGGTGTAATTGCGAAACTGGCTTACGTGTTACCGTCATCAGCGGGCCATTCTATATTTTAGGATTGATCTGCGCCGGTAAGTCCTGGTATGATTTCCTGCAGAAAAACACTTTATTACAACAATTTAGGTGTTTCCAACAGTGTTATTTACGTCGCTCTGAACAAGGATGTGCAAGTCTTGCTTGCCAGTTGCTTCAGTGCGAAAGGACGTACATTAGTTACTCATGCCAGTTATAATAAGACCACCTCTGTAAAATTTTTAACTCATCGCATATCGGCAAAATGAGCTCTATATGTCTCTATTATCACGACCGAATTTCTATTAACCTCGGCATTGATCCACTAAGTGGAAACCTCATAGAAAGCGGCTCTGAAGAAGGCGAAATCCGCCGAAACGTCAGCTTAATCGTGAACAAAGAATAGTAACACCTCGCGTTTGCTCAACAAAAATACGAAGGAAATCACTTGTCTCTATTGTGTTTATGACATCATGAAAGTAAATTTGTCATATCTTTCTACTTCTGTTCAGCAAGCACGAGGTGCTATTTTATTTTTTTATTTACGCACAAGCTGACGTTTCGGCGGATTTCGCCTTCCTCAGAGCCTGGAAGGGTCAAGTTGACAGCAATACACTCGGCCAAACACCTCCATAACCAAACAGAGAAAACTCTCAACCAAGATTTCATTGTCAACTGGCAAGTAAATTTGTCAGTTGATGCTCAATATGTATTCTTTCTTTGATGAGCTTACACGAGGTTGATAATGATGTTTATTTTCGGCTAACGTGCTACCTGCTAAAAATACCTTCGTATGAAAATATGAATTGAGCAACAACTTTCCCTGAACCTCGGTACCACTAATCAATATGTATTCTTTCTTTGATGAGCTTACACGAGGTTGATAATGATGTTTATTTTCGGCTAACGTTTCGACGTCTTCGTCTTCCTCAGAGCCGATGATCCGAGTCGATGGTCCTCGCTTGTTATTCGCCTCGACGTGACAGCTTCGCCTTCGTGTCGAGTTGTCGATCCTGTTTTTTTTTCATATTTTTTTATTTTTTTCATACGAAGGTATTTTTGTTGAGCAAACGCGAGGTGTCAATTCATATTGTCCACATGGAAGGTTCAGCTGCAAGAATTCTGGATTAGTTAAAGGATTACATTCTACACCACCATCATGTACCGTCTTACCTGTACTTATCAGAACTAGTAAGTTAACATCCACGGATGATCATCAATTAGAAAAGGATAAAGCTCTCGGCGTCGATCAATCCCTGAGGGATGCGCCATGCATTCGACTTCATTAAGCATCGTTTGGAAGTAATTGAATGCATGTCTGGCCCTTACAATGACTCGCTGTAACCTACCGATATATCGAGCTAGTGTTGGTATCCTCCCAGACAAGTATGGTACCAATTTGCCGACCCCGGAAGGATGGAAGGCTTGGTCGGCCATGGATGCGGAGATCGATTCCACCTGTGTGTTGCGGGACACCTCTGGACACTGCGCCACACGTGCCCTTTCGTATGATCATGCATCTATTAATCCATTATGGTTCCAGCTCAGACCCATTGTCAGCTGAGTAAACGGATCGGCATAAAGCAACAGGGTTTATATATTGTTATTGTATTATGGTACATGACACGACGTCACGTGTATCAAACTGTGCCAATCATAGCACTACTTGCTTTCAATTAGGCCCGTCGCATCCACCATCCACGAAGGTCTTCCATCGTTTTTGTTTGTATTAAGTTCGTGTTTGAAGATTTCTTTATCTTCGTTACTAATGTCGTCCAACGTTGTATGAGTGCACTTTCCCTGAAGTTTCAGGATAGCCGTGCAAGACCGTTCCCAAATGAGTTAGAGTGGGCATATTCCAGACAAGTCTGGTACCAATTTTCTGACACCGGAGTGATGATAGGCTTAGTGGGTCTCGTGCGGGATCGAATCAGCGCGTGGTTAGATTGCGATGCCAGCAAAATGAACAGAGTCGCTACCACTGCGCCAGCCCCTTCTTTGTACATTCATTGTATTGCGATTTCCAAGTTCG